AAGGGCGGGGGCATCCTCCTCCCCCTCCCCCTCCTTGTTCCGGCCTGACTAGGGAGGGGGCAGAGTTATGGCCATGGCTACTAGCCGCCCCAAGGAGGGCCCTGCTCTCCTGCCCTTAGCCAACCGGCCTGGCCCTGGCCGTGCCAGCTCTGGCTGCCCAGCGACCTCCCGGCCCCCCCTCCCCAACTGAGAAAGGTTGGCACAGCTGGAGAAGAAGGGAGGCCGCCTCTGCTCTGGGATGCCCTCGGGGCCTGATCCCTCCGGCCAAGCGAAGGAGCGTCTCCCTCCTCAGAAGGGCCGGCTACCTGGGATTCTGCCGGGCCATTAATTATCTCTTGCTAATTAAATCAAAATTAAATTTGAGCAGAGAAGCGCTTTCGGAGACATGATTAAACAGATTGGCAAACACAGAAGGACCCAGGGATGAAGAGAGAGAAAAGGAAGGATATAAAAGCCGCCCTTAATGAAAGGCGCTTTGGTGCTCACTCCCACTCACAAAACCCAAGTTCATCAATTCCTTTTAAATGGTAGCAACTTAATTAAATCTGCTTTTCCCCTTTAATCCCCTTCTCTATCTAAAATAGATCTGTCCAACAAGCACAACTTTGTAACTCATGCTGACCCCATAATTCTATTTTAAAAACACAAAAATCCACATCCGCCCTCCAGGCCCCTCCAGGGAAATTCCCTCACAGAAAAAGGATTAGCCTCAATATCCAGATTTTATGAAAATGTTATCAGGCCTCTCTGGCGAGCCCGTTTGTGGGAGGGGGCAGAGGAGGAGACCCCCTCCGGCAGGGGGCATTCTGAAGGGGGGGGGGCGGCTACTCCTGTCCAGCCAGAAGGGGGGGCTTCCTGTGCTCTGCTGCCTGCCCCCCACCTTCTGTACAGATGGGCTGTTTTGGGGGGCTGCAGGGACAAACTGCCCGATGGACAACTTTGAGGTTCTGTAGCAAATGAGGGGGTTGCTAAGATACCTCCGGAAGCTGCCAAGACCAGATCCTCCCGCGGGAAAGCTTTCCTTGAGCAGAACTGCCTTGCCCCCCCCCCGTCCCTCCCCACTCCCCCCTGCAGAGGCCCCGAGTTCCGGACAGGGGCTTTCTCCCTCTCCCCCGTGGCCTTTACCTTCCCCACGTACAGTGGCTCTGTGCCCGTGTACTCCTCCACCACGAAGAACTGGTTCCACACCCAGCCACGCTTCACCCGCCCAGAGCCGGGCAGACTGACATCCCCAGGTGCTCCCTGCCCGGGGGCCCCAGATGCCCCCGGCCGACGGTCTGGGCCAACGAGGAGGCACAACAGCAACAGCAGGAGCCCTCTTCTGGGGGGGTGCGGGGGCACCATCACTGCAGAGTCCTGGCAGCAGGGAGGGGCCCCGCAGGCATCCTTGGGGGGCAAAGGGGAGCCACCGGCCAGCGCGGTGGGTCAGTCATCCGTGGGAGACAGGGCCGGCAACCGTCTGGAGCAGCTTCACTTCTCAGGGGGAAGAGCAGGAGGATCACATGGAGCCCAACGCCCGGCAGGCAGGTGGGCATCGAATGGGGCAGACCGATGCAGAGGTGGAGCCCCTTCTTCCTCTGGGTGAGAAGATCCCTGGAACAGGCCCCCGGGCGGCTACTCCCAAACCAGCCCAGCGGGGCCTCGAAGGCGCTGTAGAGGCGTACACCAGTCTCTTGGCTCTGGCCGCAGCTGGCTCCTCGCGGGCAGCTGGAGGGCACAAAGCCCCATCAGAGCAACGGCATGGCACGCCCAGCAGACTTGGCCTGGCTACAGATGCTCCTGGCAGGGGTGGCATTGAGGCTCCATGGCTTCCACTGGCCGGGCGGCTCCTACACACCCAGCAGTAGCTGCCACCGTCCTCCTCGGGTCAAGAGGGCAGCGGGCACCGGCATCCTCCCGGCACCTGGAAGAGACAGAGCACCCATCACTGGGGAGGTAGCCAAGAGCCCGAGAGGGGCGCCCTATTCCCCCAACGGCTCCTGGGCTGGGGGCTGCTCTGGCTGGCTGCTCAGCAAATGCCCAACTCAAGCCCTGTTGCCCATGCCAGGCAGGCTGCGGAGATGCTGCTTTCTAACCCATGCAGAAAGTTGGCATGATCCTCCCTAGGGCCATCCTGTCCTTCCTCCTCTTCCTCCCTCACCGCCATTCATAGGATGGAGCCTTCCGCCCAAAAACTTCTGTTACCAGTTAGAGCCGGCCGGGAGTGGTGGGGAGGGGAGGGGCAGGGGGCCCTGGGGGCTCAGCAATTACAATAGGTCCTGCCAGAGTCCCAGAGGTGGAGGGGGGGCAGCAACTGACCAGCCTGGCTTCTGTGCCCAGCCAAGAGCAATAGCAATAGCAGTTAGACTTATATACCGCTTCATAGGGCTTTCAGCCCTCTCTAAGCGGTTTACAGA